TCCCTTCCCACAGACTTCCCACTGAGGTGTCTTGATACAGCACTCTGGGAACAGCCTATTCGTTCAGCAATTTCTTTCTGTGTCTTACCCTCTTGCTTGAGGGTGTCAATGATGGCCTTCTGGACAGCAGTCAGGTCGGCAGTCTTACCCATGATTGTGGTTTTGAGTAATGAACAAGGCTGGGAGTTTTTAAAAGCCTCAGGAATCTTTTGCAGGTGTTTAGAGTTACGTCGTTGATTCAGATGGTTAGGTTAATAGCTTGTTTAGAGAACCTTTTCATGATATGCTCATTTTTTGGGACAGGCATTTTGGGTTTTCATGAGCTGTATGCCATAATCATCAGTATTAAAACAATTAAAGACCTGAAATATTTCAGTTGGTGTGCAATGAATCTGAAATATATGAAAGTTTCATTTTTATCATTACATTATGGAAAATAATGACCTTTATCACAATATGCTAATTTTTTTAGAAGGACCTGTATGTATATAATTATCTTAAATTTAGAATACAACATAACATTTTTCAATATTTTCTTTTATAAGATTCATTGGTACATAAAGTGGTTGTAAAATTGTTAAACAGGTTTTTCATTTATTTTATTTCATTAATAAAATAGCACTGTGTTGTATATTCACCTTAAGCCTCATAATTGTGGTAATGCTTTGATATCTTATAAAAAATTAAATGTTAAACTAATAATGTTTTTGTTGTTCTCTACATTTCCTTAACCAGACCAGACCTTGGTACTGCAGGATGAACTCGAGTGTCCCAGTCCTGGACCGTTACTTTAACCAAGAAGATCCTAGACCAGATTTCTGATGAAGCAGGGAGTCTCTGGCAGTGTTGCTTCATCTCCTGGACCTGGATCCACAACATGGTTGGGGGCCCACAATTGAGACCCTGCTGTTCCTTTTCTGGCTGGCAGGTGGAACATCCTGCAGGATGGTCTCTGGAGTGTTTGTGATACCTCGTTCTACTGTCCACTGCATCGTCCATCACATGATGGAAGAAGTGTCCATTCACCACCAGGTCATCCACCTCCTTAAACACCCAGAGGACCTGGAGGTGGTGTCCCGTGGGTTTGCAGGGCTGGCACGACACAGAGCCTTTTGTTTTGAATGAACTTACTGTTAATAAAATTAATTTTTGACAACTACTAGTTTTTGTAATCACTTTATTTTTTCAAAATTAAAACAAAAAACACCTTTTTCAAGAACATAAAAAGCAACCATCAATTAATTTATTTGCAGTTCTTTTGAGAATTGTAAAAAGTCTCTCCATTCTCTCCCTACTTACATTTGCTCTTCTCTTCTGTTTCATATCTTCTCTGATTAATTGAAATAAATCATCTTCTCTGTCCTGCTGCCTCTTTCTTCCATCTCCATTCCTCTGTTTGTTCCTCAGCCCTTTCTTCCTGGTCACCCACTGCTGCACTTGGACCTGGAGTGTCCTCAGTGATGGAGGCAATTAGGACAGGAGCTGCAGTGGAAGGTCTCTGTCCATCTGTCCTAAAACCTCGTCCATGAGGACAAACCAGGGTCAAGTTGTAGCACTGGGCTTCCCACTAACTCCTTCCCCTGACCTGCCTGGATATTTGCAGTCCTGAACAGATGAAACAAGACATCACAGTTGGTAAAAGAGCAACAAACTTTTTTTTTAACTTTACATGCTGCATGTACAAATTATATTCTTCATTACACATGCACATACTTTGTATTTAGTTTTTAGGTTGTCCCGTTTCTTTTTAGCCTGTGGAGGAGTTACCTTCCCCTGCAGGCCCATAATCTCCAAAATTATCCAAATTACATCAACATGAAATGAATGAAGAGGGGAAACATGGAAAATAATGTCTTAAACACACACAGAAAAACTGCAGTTTTCACAACACAAGAGGAACTATACTTCATTAGGATCGCAGGTTATGTACAGTATGAGGGTTAATGAAACTGTACTCGGAAGCATAAGGTTAATAAATGGATTCATTCTTGTACCTCCATGCCACAGCTGCACAGTGTTTTGTACCAGTGAAAATGCGGCTGTTCTCATGCTGAAGCTCAATAAAAGCTTCAGTCTGCTCCTTGCTACCTAAAAAAAAAAAGCTTAGCGGCGAAAGTACCATGGGACCCCGCTATACGAGCTGATTGCCAACTAAAAATAATACAAAAATGTCTATGCAAATGACAAAAGCCTATCATCCACTTTAAATCATAACCGCTTTACGCTTTTAATTTTTTAATCCCACATTTTAACATACTTGGATTTAAAAATGACTCGCTCGCTGCTTCGTCCGCCATTGCAACCAGAATTTTCTATGCCCGCAATGCATCATGGGATAGGGTGGGTTGCGAAGGATACACGGGACCCGTTCTACAAATGGGGGGAAGGAGGCTGCATTCGTGGGCCGCATTGAAGGAGTCTTCGAATTGGGACAAGCCTCGGCGCCTCGCTGTGACGTAATCGGCCTTCGAAGGATGCGGCCGCTGGATTAGGACACACCCTAAGAGTTTATAAAAAAGAACAGTACTTGTTACTCTTAGGTCCCAAAATGGTCACTCTCATAAAAGTTTATAAGGGTTTTTTTCCATGTTCACTGTGTCGAAGCTTTTCAGTAACTTTAAGAACCAACTATAGATGTGAAGTTGTTCTTTTATGTAGTATTTATGCATTATTGCATGTCTTGTCCATCTTGTGGTGGAGCAAGCACATATTGGAGCAGAGAAACGTCTGAATCATGCAGGATAATGACACTTGAGGACCAGGATTGTACTCTCCTGGTGTAAAGAACCTGGCCAGGGGTGGATCTAGAAAAAATATTGATGGGGTGGCCGGAGGGCAGGATATCTGTTGATGAGAGGAAAAGTGTGTCCTCCAAAACTGGACTTTTTCTATCAATCCTCATACATACACCTCACACTTTAGAGGTAAAACTGGTATCAGTTGCAAATACAAATTAGTGGTTATAAAGGTAAAATATAAATTAAAAGTTTTGGTTCTCTGTGTCATTGGACTCCTGTCACTCCCAAAAGAGCATTTTCAATGGTTTAGAAAATGCTTTTAAGAAAGAAATGTGATCAAGTTTTAACCAAATGTTTTAGTTCACTGGAAACTGACTTTCCTGACTCCATTTTTGCAGGTTGTACAGACTTTGGAGGACCACCACCAGGAAGTGCTGTCTCTCTACAGGGACTTTGGATTCTCTGGCTTGATTGCTCAGGACTCCGAGTTTGCCCTCTGCAACGTGCCTGCCTATTTTTCTTCACACGCACTCAAACTAAGCTGGAACGGCAAGAACCTGACCACACATCAGTATCTGCTCTCAGAGGCTGCCAGGCAGCTTGGGCTGAAAACGCAACACCTGCCACTTTTTGCTGCTCTGCTGGGTGAGGAGCGTAACTTTTCGCATATGTCAGCCTCTATCACAAACTTTAAAGGCCTTATTGATAAAGGCCACTTCACTGTAATTGCTGTACTTTTATCTATTGTCTATGTTTGTGGACTTGGCATATATTTGAAAACGTTTCTTACTTGCAGGAAATCATATTCTGCCTGATGAAGACCTGGCTGCCTTCCACTGGAGTCTGCTAGGACCAGAACACCCACTTGCTTCCCTCAAGGTAAATGCTTCAGTTTTTGGAGTTTGCAGTGTACTTAAGAAAAACTGCAAACTTCTTAAAAACCAGACAAAAGTTTTCTCTGAAATCCTACAAGTGGTTTTGACTTTTGTGTTAAATTATTTGTTTAAACTGTTGGTGGAAAAGAAAGTTACTGTAATTGCTGGGCTACAGAACACATCTGACTGTAGGGCTGTTGTAAACTAATATTTTAGTAATCGAGGAATCTATAGAATATTCTTGCGATTAATCGAGCAATTGAAAACAAAGTTTGTCAGGTTCTGCAGTAACCACTCATTTTACACGAAAAAGAACATTAAGTAAATAATCCATTTAAATCCTCTTTTAAAAATATTTTATTTTAAAATGTAATAACATGTTGAACCTCCATTTCTCTGAAGTGTAGAAAAAATTACATTAACATGAAATAGAAAACAAATTAAAGCAAAAACAGTAAACACTGCCCTTTATAAATTCAACTTGAAAGACTGAGGTACAACAAAATCCACTTGTGCGTTTTCAAGGATCAAAGTTTCTATTGTCATTTACATATTTGGTGCACGTGGTGGAACGAAATCGTGTACACGGGGTAAGTTACATCCAACAAAAGTATAAAATGTAAAGAAAAACAATAATAAGATCTAAGATAACTAAGAAATACACTAAACTAAGAATACACTATACCATACCATTTTATTTATAGAGCACTTAAAACAGCTACAAGGCCAACCAAAGTGCTGTACAGACAGAACAACAGGTAACACACAAAGCAAAATACAAAATGAGGTAAATCAGAATATAGACATAAAAACGATGCAGATAATGACGACTAACCAGTGTGGAGCATACAGGATCAAACACAGATCATCTGGTGTTGAAAGCTACTGAATAGTAGTGAGTTTTTAAACGGGACTTGAAAACCGAGAGGGAGGGGGCCTGTCTGACAAGCAGAGGTAACTCGTTCCAAAGTCTTGGTCCTGCTACAGAGACGGCCCTGTCACCTCTGCGCTTAAGACGAGTTCCTGGAACTGTGAGGAGCAACTGGTCCGCTGACCTCAGGGAACGTGGTGAGACATACGGTTGTAGCAGATCAGAGAGACGGGAAGGGGGGGGGGGGGGGACTGTTCAGTGATTTGTAGACATACATGAGTATTTTGAACTGGATTCGAAAGTGAACCGGTGACTAATTACTAATAGTACCCAAGCTGAACAGCAGCAGCACGAACATGAGTCGGTGAGAAGGTGAGTGGATGAATACAGGGTGAAATGAAAGATTTTATTTTTCAAAACCAACATATATGAATGGTGTTTTTGCAAATAACATCGATATGCCTTTCTTAAATGTCTCAACATACAAGTGTGTATGTTAATGAACGTTGCTCAAGTCTTTAAAGGAGCCTATGGTTGCAGTGGAGGAAAGTGAGCATGTCGACATGCTCTTAACTGAGGCTTGCCCTGCGCTTAGATGCAATGTTTCCTGCTGCAGAAAAAAGCCGTTCTGATGGCGTAGATGTTGCTGGGATACACAGAAATGACTTTGCAAGCTTTGAGAGTGTTGGATAGTGTGCTGCATTTGATTTCCACCATGGCAGTGGACTCTCCTTCCTGGACAGTGCATGCTCTCCAAAGTACAAACCGGATTCCAAAAAAGTTGGGACACTAAACAAATTGTGAATAAAAACTGAATGCAATGATGTGGAGATGGCAAATGTCAATATTTTATTCAGAATATAATATTTTAAAGGAAAAATATGTTGATTCAAAATTTCACAGTGTCAACAAATCCCAAAAAAGTTGGGACAAGTAGCAATAAGTGGCTGGAAAAAGGAAATTGAGCATATAATGAACAGCTGGAAGACCAATTAACACTAATTAGGTCAATTGACAACATGATTGGTATAAAAAGAGCTTCTCAGAGTGTCAGTGTCTCTCAGAAGCCAAGATGGTAAGAGGATCACCATTTCCACCATTGTTGCGCAGAAAGATAGTGCAGCAATACCAGAATGGTGTTACCCAGCGTAAAATAGCAAAGACTTTTAAGTTATCATCATCAACCGTGCATAACATCATCAAAAGATTCAGAGAATCTGGAACAATCGCTGTGTGTAAGGGTCAAGGCCGTAAAACTCTACTGGATGCTCGTGATCTCCGGGCCCTCAAACGTCACTGCACCTCAAACAGGAATGCCACTGTCAAGGAAATAACAGAATGGGCTCAGGAATACTTCCAGAAAGCATTGTCAGTGAACACAATCCACCGTGCCATCTGCCGTTGCCAGCTAAAACTCTACAGTGCAAAGAGGAAGCCATTTCTAAGCAAACTCCACAAGCTCAGACGTTTGCACTGGGCCAGGGGTCATTTAAAATGGAGTGTGGCAAAATGGAAGACTGTTCTGTGGTCAGATGAGTCACGATTTGAAGTTCTTTATGGAACACTGGGACGCCATGTCATCCGGACCAGAGAGGACAAGGATAGCCCAAGTTGTTATCAACACTTCGTTCAGAAGCCTGCATCACTGATGGTATGGGGTTGCATGAGTGCTTGTGGCATGGGCAGCTTGCATGTCTGGAAAGGCACCATTAATGCAGAGAACTATGTTCAGGTTCTAGAACAACATATGCTCCCATCTAGACGTCATCTCTTTCAGGGAAGACCCTGCATTTTTCAACACGATAATGCCAGACCACATTCTGCAGCAATCACAACATCATGGCTACGTAGGAGAAGGATCCGGGTACTGAAATGGCCAGCCTGCAGTCCAGATCTTTCACTTATAGAGAACATTTGGCGCATCATAAAGAGGAAGGTGCCACAAAGAAGGCCCAAGATGATTTAACAGTTAGAGGCCTGTATTAGACATGAATGGGAGAGCATTCCTATTTCTAAACTGGAGAAACTGGTCTCCTCTGTCCCCAGACGTCTGTTGAGTGTTGTAAGAAGAAGGGGGGATGCCACACTGTGGTAAAAATGGACTTGTCCCAACTTTTTTGGGATTTGTTGACACCATGAAATTTGGAAACAACAGATTTTTCCCTTAAAATGAAACATTCTCTCAGTTTAAACTTTTGATCTGTGATTTGTGTTCTATTCTGAATAAAATATTAGATGTTGGCACCTCCACATCATTGCATTCAGTTTTTATTCGCAATTTGTTTAGTGTCCCAACTTTTTTGCAATCCGGTTTGTATATCAAGACCTCCTTTTGGACACTTTGGTTCAAATGCTGCTCCTTGTCCTCTTCCTCACTTGTACTGGAGTCAGAAGAACACAGTAGATTATCCTGATGCATGCTCAATAATCCAGGTAGAAAAATCTAAAAAAGTTAAATCTGGTCCTCTGGACATTCAAAAAAAAAACAAAAAACAAAGCAAATCAACAAAAAAAAAAATGTAGAAACGTTTCGTCTCTCATCCTGAGGACTTCCTCAGTCTGAGGTGCTGTATTCAGCTCAGTCTCTTAAATAGCACCTTCTCAGAGTGGATCAACCAGTTTGCTGCTGACAACCAAAACCAGCTGATCACATGCTCAAGAAGGACCATCAGCCTAACAATGGATCATTAGCACCTGATGGCTGTTTACTGTTCACAGAGGGCTGAGTGATACTAACAATCACAGCATTGTAAGAGGGGGACAGTTGAACATGGAGGCCTCCACCCCTGTTTAATGATGGACGATTTATTTTCACAAAGATGGCCAGGAGGAGGGAGGAGTAAAGGAAGCCAATACCGGAAGCGCTACCGGAAGCGCTAGCGTTGTGTAACACAAAAACCTTCCGGCTAGAAAAATGAAAGTGACTGCGGAAGTCTCTCGGATGAGAGACGAAATGTTTCTACATTTTTTTGTTTTTTGTTTTTTGTTGTTGTTTTGCTTTGTTTTGTTTTTTTGAATGTCCAGAGGACCAGATTTAACTTTTTTAGAAAGTGAACAGTTTAACGAAGCTTCAAGGCAGATAAATTTGCCTCCAGGATTTTTTGTAATCGAGGTCCTCGAATGATACGAGGAATTGTTTCAGTCCTAAACCTGTGTATACTAAATCTAAGATAAAACGTAATTTTGTACATAAATAAAACGTGCCGGTTATTAAGCTGCGGGTCTCCACCGTTCATCAGAATCTGTGCCCAGCTCGGGGCATTATGTGCAGCTCTTCTTGTAGTACAAGAATCAGCCACTGTATGGTGTTTCACAGACTATAGCTTGGTTTGAGGATGCTTTAATTGAAACCGTGTGTCACTGAATTATTTTCAACCATCACAGAAAAATCTAAATGCTGTAAAATAATGTTTATTGGAAAACTGAATGGAATCTTTGTTAGAAATTGATTAAGATGGTAATGTCAAAGTTTGAGTTTGTGCATTGAGTTCTGCAGACTTGTAATTGTAAATGGTAAAAATACATTGCTATTTTTATTAAGACTGTATTATTATTTAGTCTTGATTGCTTAGCTGTAAACAAATATGACGGTAGTAATAAATGCAGGCTAATCCCAGTTTTCAGTCATAAACAGCAGCAAGAAGAAAAAAAATCCTACCAACTCATGTACCGTATTTTCCACCGTACTTGTTGCACCGGCCTATATGTTGCATCAGTCCAAATATGTCCAAAATAGCAGAAAAAATCATAAATATGTTGCTTTGCTGTATACGTCGCATCTATTATGCGCCACCACTGATGCATCACGTTTGTTACGCGTCACTGCTGGCAACCCGGAAATTTGGGCCTGTGTTGTGCCAATAATCGATGGGCTGCCAAATGGCAGGAGTGTGCATGGGAGGACTTTAAAAAGAATTTAACAAGATTAACACTTAAAAACAATTGTTTGCTTGAAATTATAGTAAAGGTGTGTCGCAGTCTAACTTTTGCTTAATAAATTAGGGCTGCAACTAACGATAATTCAATAATCGATCCATCAGCCGATTTATTTTTTCGATTAATCGGGGGGAGAAAAAGTTTTAATTTCCACCCCTTTATTCCAAAATTGAACATTTGACTGACATAGCAATTCA